TTCAACTTCAAATAGGTGTAGTTGGGGATAACCATGAACTTCGCGTAGCATGGACATCCCAGGATGGCATGGGAGGTCCCGTGGAACCCGACCACCTCGAAGGTAAGGGTCTCCATTCTATAATTGGTTGGATTCCCAAAGATGATGCACATATCGATCTACCCAAGTGGCACGACCTACTTTCCAAGCACGATGCCATGGAATGGCGCCCTGGTCGGTTGGATACACGATCGATCGATGCTCATGGTGTCGAGCATTTCAACGTACATGATGTTGAGGCCGCTATGTCCATCCATCAGCACCTTCGTGAGACGCTTCATGCCGATGATTGGGTCGACCATGAGTGGATATCTTCCCAACTGTGGGACGCTTTCTGAGTGGTCGGTCTGATCAAAGATTATGGCAGACTCCGACCATCAGAGGAAGGAAGGCGCCGCTGGCTCGGCCGTATAGACCTTGCAACGCGTAAGCTTCTGGCGATGCTTGGAGTCGTAAGCCGCTGACCCTCCGAAGATCATGAGGTAGCCATCCAGCATCAGAAATCCATCGTTCTTCCCCTCGGTGTCATCTGTGGCCGGCTTGGGCTCCTTCCTATGCTCCCCCTTGTTGGAGCCTTTGGACAAGAACTGCTTCATGAGGACATAGTCCTTGTATAGGTGCTTGATGGGGAAAGCATGGTTCGGGCATGACCCTTCGAGCAGCTTCTCGAAGTGCTCTGAGGTACCCTTAGCGGGCTTCTGACCCCTCCTTATGGTCGGCAATGGCTACGAGTGAGCCCTCGTGCCACTGCTTTTCTTCTTCTTATTGGGGCAGTTGGAGGCGCCTTCGCCGACGCGCCGGCGTCCTTGTCCCGCTTTGCCTTGCCCTTGGGGTGGTTGAAAATCAACCCGACCTCCTCCTCGCCCGAGGCGTGGCTGGTGGCGATGTCGAGGAGCTCCTTGGTGGTTTACGGGCCCTTAAGTCCCAACTTGTGAACTAGGGACTCGCAGGTGGTCCCAAACAGGAAAGCTCCTATGACATCGGCATCGACGATATCGGGCAGCTCGTTGCACTGCCAGGAGAAGCACCGGATGTACCCACAAAGAATTTCCTTGGACTTGTATCGATAGTTTTTGAGATCCCATGGGTTCCCAGGACACGCGTATGTGCCCTGGAAGTTTCCCATGAAGATTTCTTTTAGGTCCGTCCAACTTTGGATTCGGTTGGGTGGAAGGTGTTCTAACCATGTTCGCGCCAAATTGGCCAGGAACAATGGAAGGTTGCGGATAATAAAATTGTCACTATCCGCTCTACGGCTTGGCAAGTAAGCCGATAATCCTCGAGCCACAGTCCGAGGTTTGTTTCCCCAGAGTATTTTAGTATGTTTGTCGGTGTTTGGTACCGCGGTGGGAAGACGACGTTGAGGATGTGTCAGCCAAAGGCTCGAGGTCCCGGAAAGTTGGGGCTCGAGCTTTGGTCCTCGCCGTTGTCGTAGCATCCGCCATGATGAGGGTGTAGCCGCGGCTAGCCTCCTCCCTCTCATTGCCACGGGCACGCCTGTGGGCATCTAGGGTGTCGAGCGCGTCACGGTGGAGGCCGAGAAGCTCATGCACTGAGACCTCAGCGCGCGGCCTGTCGCCTCGTTGCGCCTAGTGGACTGACACGTCCTTGTCGGGGCGCTCTGAGGGCGCGCGCTAGCTCGCGTCGAGCTTGCGTCGTCGGGACAACGAGCTCTCAGCCTGCTGTGCCACTGCATGTTCGAGTAGCGTACGAATCTCGTGATGGACCCAATGGTCCTCGGGTGTCGCGGGCTCTGGAAGCCCTAGAGCAAGGCCGCCACAGCAGTGATGTTTTGGCTTGCCCGGGTGAAGTGTGGGAGGGCTTCGTCGTCCTCGATGATCCTCTGGTTCACATCGCAGGCCACAGCATGCGCACACCCACCATCTCCGTGGCGCTCGATCTCTCATTCGACCCCGCGTGTTCCTGCTCGAGCTAGAGTCATGCTTCTTCGAGCTCTTGGTGCCACGCCCTTAGCTGCTCTACCCGCAGGCAAGGTGGGGCCCCTACATCCCCCTCAACCTCGTCGTCGAGGTCATTTGTTGTGGTAGCCCCTCCCTCGTGGATGCTTTCTATGTATCCCTCGGAGGTACCTGCCATGAAACACTCTCATGAGGGGTGATGGCTCCCCCTGCTGGAGTCAGAGTGGGAGGGCGACTCTGATTCTCCCATGAGAAGGTCGTGGAAAGATTCTGTGATGTATTCGGTCATCCCCATGAACTCATCATTCGTATGGGATGGGGACGTACGCTGTGCCACAAGGTGGCCAATGGTCTCTGCGGTGTTGCACAGATCGAACGGGAGCGCTGTCGGGGCGCTCCGGATGAGGTATTCCGGGGAGAGCGGCTCTCCTCCGGCAAGCTGCGTCATGACATTGGAGAACAAGAAGTTGAGGTGGCGCAGGTCCTCCTAGGACGGTCGGGGTCCTAGGAAGGCGTCGAGCTGACGCTCTAGCCTCCCGTAATCAAAGCCGAGGAGCTGGTCGCTCCCAGGGGCGCGGGCCTTTGGTGCGTGCAGCTATAACTCCTCAAGCGCCTCGGCGATCGTGTCGAGGCCAGCGGAGTGGAGAGGTTGGACGGCGATTGGAACCCGCGCCAACTCTCCCTCCGTCGTAACGATGAAGTCCAGGTTCTCGAAGCGCACGTGCGCGCCAGGGACCTAGCTGACGCCATGACTAGCCATCCGAGGCTTGATGTGGATGTCGAGACGCGCAAAAAGCCCCTACCTAGCGCGCCAACTGTCGGTGTTTTTAGACCACTGACGAGCAAATTTGTATTTGAGCGTCTGGCTCGGATGGTGTGCTCAGAGGACACAAGGGTTTATACTGGTTCTGGCGGAACATCCCTACGTCCAGTTTGTCGCTGCTCGTGTTACCGGCACTTGGTTTGCAGTAAGGGTTACAAACAGGTGAGAGAGGAAAAGGATCCCAAGTCTCTAGTAGAAGGAGTGAATCGGGTGCTGAGAGCTCACTTGCCGCTCAGCCGTGTGTTCGTGTCGTGCTCTTATGTTTAGTTGTCTCGTGTCGATTATCGATCCCCTTGTTGGGGCACCCTGCTTCCCCTTTTATAGGCGAAGGGAAAGCACGGTTACAGAGGAGAAAAGGTTGAAGAACGACAGAGAGAAGAAGGCTTCCAGGGTTGCCAGGTCCTTATTCTCCTTCATGTGGGTCCCATCGATCCTGTAGACGTCAACAGGGACGGCTCCATATCGCGGCCCTGTTCATCACTGGCGCCATGCGCAGGCGTCACCTGTCGGTCATGGCGTTTCACTTTGTCCTGGCTGACGTCGTGGTGAACTGACGCGTCTGTCAGCGTCCGTATGAGGATTAGGCAGAACAGTACCAGCACGACTGACACTGTTCTTGATGTGAATCGCCAGGTATAGCCCATCACGGCCACGGGTTACATTGAGACGTGCCAGTCTCTTCTCTAGCGTCAGAGTTTTGACCCAGGCCCATACGCTTGGACATGGAGTGGTTGGCGGCGGTATGGGTCCCCGTCGGACAAGACGGAACCTGCGTCCTCGAGGTCGGACGAGACAAAGCCCGCGACCTTGGGCGAGATGGAACCCGCGTCCTTGGGGTCGGGCGAGACGGAGCTCACACCCAAGGGGTCGGGCGAGGCGGAGCCCACGGCCTTAAGGTCGGGCGAGACAGAGCTCGTGACCTTGGGGTCGGGCTAGACGGAGCCCGCGACCTTGGGGTCGGGCGAGACGGAGCCCGTACGCAAGGGGTCGGACGAGGCGGACTCGCGGCCTTAAGGTCGGGCGAGACGGAGCCCGCGGCCTTGAGGTTGGACGAGATGGAACCCCGCGGCCTTGGGGTCAGACAAGACAGAGCCCGCGGCCTTGGGGTCGGGCACGACCTTTTAATACGTCTCGAGCCATTCCGCGGGAGTCAGCGTGTACGCTAACTTCCTTGCTTAGGATATCTCAAATAACAATACCCGACAAGTATATTCAAAGTAACTAGAGTATAATTGGACTTTTTGATTATCCAAGTCTCCACCTCTATATGAACCTAGTAAACCTAGACTCAACTCGATTTTCTAGTAATCAAACCCACTAGAAGTAGAAACCCAATTCCATCCATGCAATGAGTACACACTAAAAAACCCAACCTAGTAGCAAGTCTATCCAAGATAGTGTACGATAATGACAGGACGGCTACCCTTTTCGTGGATCCACGGAGGAGATTTGAAGCAGTCATTGAGGAACTCCCAAATTTTGAAAATTGAATCGATCATGATTTTACCACCATTTCAAAATTTGTGTTCATGTAAGTTTTACCACAATCAATAAGAACAAGGACAGACGAATCCAATCTCACTGGTATGGACCACACAAACTTCTCTCGCCGCTACAAAAAGACATGCACATCTCCTCTCTCCTATTTGGTAGTGCTTCCGTCGGCTCTGTCTCTAGCTTTTGTATGCACTATAATTATACTGTAGTAAGAAAATGTTAATTTGTTGCTTTAATCAGCTCTAGATCCTTCAAACACTTTAGGAACTGAGTCAATAAATCCACGCAGCCACCTACTCCCACGGTTCAAGAAAGAATACAACTACGAGTTCCGTGCTACCAAAAGTAGTTCATGTTTAACCAAATTTCTAATGAATATTATTCGTATTTTCGGCTCTAAATTAATTTATTATAAAAATACATTTCATAATTAATCTAATAATATTTATTTGATATCATAAATATTGATATATATTTATCTAATTAATCAACCATGGCAGTTTGTTAGAATTGCGTTCTTTTTTAGAATGAGGGCGTACATTCAAAGCGAAAGAAAATGATTTGAAGTCCGAAGAAAGTACAGGCAGGACAGCTTGGAAGGATTCAAAAAAATCCTATCCTGCTCTGTCCATCTCTTTGCCGCTGCAGTGAATGTCAGCGAAAAGCCGTAAAAGGTCGCCGAGAGTAGCCCTGTGGCAGCGAGCCAGCGACGCACCAAGTACATGTCGCAACGCACCGCACCGCACCCCAAGCCATTTCAAAATCCTCCCGTGCGGACGTGGCGTGGTGCGTGCCAAGCCCCCGCAGTCCGCTGCAGCAGCAGCCTCAAACGGTCGGATCCCCGCAGCCACGGAACCCGCCGATCCCAGCGCCCGTTCACCGGGCCCCACGCCCCTATCCGACGGCTGGCCTCGCTCCCGAATTCAAAACCTCGTTTCCAAGCAGCGGCCGTCCTGTCCCCAGTCCACTGGAATAAATCCCCCAACGACTCGCTCGCTGGGAAACTACACAACGCGACGCGGTGTCGGGGCGGGGCGGCTACAAGAGGCGGTGGTGCTCCTGCTCGCGGTGAGTGCGCTCATGAAATGATTCCCCGATCCTCTCCCCCTCCCTCCCTCCCTCACAATCACGCGGTGCTCGAGTAGGAGCAACAGAGCCCATCCCCGCGCAGCGGCGTTCCCAGGATGGTTGTCGTTTGATTCATGATTGGCGTCCTGATTGCAGCCGCTCTAGCTCTGGTTGGACTCTGCGCCGCGGCGATCGGCGTCGCCGGGAGGAGGAGGTGGAGGACGACGGGGAGTGGCGGCGGACGAGGAGGAGAGGTGGCGGACGGCGACGCGACCGGCTGGAGCGAAAGCGGCGTCGGTGAGAGAGGTAATAACCGCAGGACATGCCTCTGTTTTCTGATCTCCATTTTTCGCTCGTAGTTCTCGATCGCGCTTTTCTCTATTGCTGGGAGAGTGGCCTTCAAACTTCGAAGCCAAGCGTTCGCTCTTCCTGCTCCGCTCCTGGCTGCATTCGGCCGTGCTTTCTCCACCATGCAAGCCATGATCTCTGCGATAATAAGTGTCTCGAATTTTCTAACAATCACGACGGGTCATCGTTTGCTTGGGGGAGTTGGGAGAGACCGGTCGAGTCGAGAGAGCTAAGAGTGCTTTGTTCCTACTATAGAGTGTAGACATTGTATTTTAAGCAAACGCTATTACTGTTACTCTTAGGTTATCTGAAAATAATAAAAAAAACGCTTGGGTCCTTTTTGCAACGCACAATAATAGGCTAGGAACCCTCGTCTCTGCCGGCGCCGTCGCGCCGACGCTGCCGACGCTGGCGTCCGCACGGCACTAGCTGTCAAATGACCCAACTGCCCCTGCAACATGGCCCACCAAATGAGCGGCGGGCGCGTGGTACCTGAGCTGAAGGAAACCGGGCCCGCCGCACTGGACTCGAGTGAACGCGCCTTCGGGACCGGGAGCGTCCCGAGAGGCAGGCCGAGACGCTGTTCTCCCGGCTTGCTCGGCTAGCTGCGTTGGATTCCCCGATCCCGCCGCGGGCCCGATTTCGTGTGCCGCATGCATGGCCGCACCCACCACACCAGTCGCCACGAGCCCACACGGCCTTTTAATTCGTGCGAGAAAAAGTGGTTGGTTGCTATATACGAAAAAGGGTACGTGTGGCACAGGTCGCAGCTCGCACGCGTGGTTCGGTGGTTGTGCCACAGCCAGTGACAGGTGGGCCCGCACGTTTTTCCGTACTGCTAGGCTATTTGTGGGTGCTTCGCTAGCTTTTTGTGCGTGTTTGTGTGTCAATTAACATAAGCCCATTGCTACTGTTATTTTTAACCTCCGGCGAAAGCATTTCTTTGGATCCTCCATTGCATGCATGCGTGGTAGGTCAGTCATGGCTCATGGCAAGCTTAATGGGAAGCATCCGAGGGATTTTGCGGTCATCTTTTCAGAGGACCCGGTTCTTTTACGATACGTTCCCCACGCAATTATTTCGCCATGATTCGAAAGTGCGAGATCTTTGGATTGGATTATAGTATCATACTACAAGAAAGTAATGTGGAAAAAAACATCAGCATGCTAATCTTACTCTTCCAAAGTGGGGGTCAGTCTTAAGCACACGCCTTTGGCTTTTAATCACACGCTCTTGTCAGGTGGAAGTGGAACCCACCATAACACCACCGTCTGATGATCAAGTTTTATTGGCTTCACCTAGTGCTGTAGTGCAAAAGTTCTCTCACGCTCAAAAGAACAGCAAATGGATATTTTTTTTTTAAAAAAAACAAAGTTATTTTTGTGTGCTCGCATTCACTCGTCACCAACCCATACCCAGCCACCGTTCTCTCCTGTCAATTTTTGAAATGACCAGGCTCTTCATTAGGAAAGCAGTGTGAAAAGCTTGGAAATTTTGATAGCGCCTTCGTACCAGCTCATAATTTCGTGTCTGTGGTCACCGCATTTACGCCTCTCAATTCGACGTACCAGTCGTCCAGCCAAAGCAAGAAAAGATCATAGGGGGACGCTCCGTGGGGCTTATGGATTTCTGGAGCTTTAGTCTCCTAGATGAATTTTGATTCACTTAAAATAGCCGACGCTTTCTTTCCCTGTCTCCTTCCAGCTTCTTTTATTCTTGCTCCTTTTTCAAGATTTGTCTTTTCTGCTTCGGTGCCGGGGAGCGAGTTCTGATTCTGAGTAGGAGTAGTGAGCACTACTAAAATCTGGCTGTCTGGTGTGAGTAACTGCAGGTCACGAGCTGCGCTGTTGTAGCTGCCAAGAAATGAGCTTGGGGAGCTGCCCGGCTGCGGCCGGGGACGCGACGGCAGAGGAGCTGCTTGAACGGGCGCGGGGGCTGGTGCCACCCGCCCTGGCCGCTGCGCGCGCGGCGACTGGCTTCGGTGGGCGGTGGAAGGCTATCGCAGCTAGGCTGGAGAGGGTGCCACCGTGCCTGTCGGACCTGTCCAGCCACCCCTGCTTCTCCAAGAACTCGCTCTGTCAGGAGCTGCTGCAGTCGGTGGCTGCAACGCTAGCGGAGGCCGCCGAGCTCGGTGCGCGCTGCCACGAGCCTCCGAAGGCAGGGAAGCTGCAGATGCAGAGCGACCTCGACGCGCTGGCCGGGAAGCTGGACCTCAACCTCAGGGACTGCTCTCTTCTTGTCAAGACTGGTGTGCTGTCTGATGCGACGGTTCCGGCGGCCCCGGCTGAGATAGCGTCGGCTGCGGGCGCACAGACGGACGTGCGGGAGCTGCTTGCCAGGCTGCAGATTGGGCACGCAGAGGCGAAGCACCGGGCCGTGGATGGCCTGCTCGATGCTCTGCGCGAGGACGAGAAGAGTGTGCTGTCGGCGCTCGGCCGTGGCAACGTGGCCGCGCTGGTGCAGCTGCTCACGGCGACAGCACCCAAGGTTAGGGAGAAGGCGGCCACTGTTTTGTGCCTCCTCGCCGAGTCTGGCAGCTGCGAGGGGTTACTCATGTCAGAAGGCGCTCTGCCGCCGTTCATCCGGCTGGCTGAGTCCGGCAGCCTTGTTGGGAGGGAGAAGGCTGTCATCACGCTCCAGCGGCTCTCCATGTCGGCCGACATTGCACGTGCAATCGTCGGCCACAGCGGCGTCCGCGCTCTCATCGACATGTGCCAGACCGGGGACTCAATCACACAGTCCGCCGCGGCAGGAGCGCTCAAGAACATCTCTGCAGTGCCGGAGGTCCGGCAAGCGCTGGCCGAGGAAGGCGTCGTGCGAGTCATGATCAACCTGCTCGACTCCGGCGTCGTTCTCGGCTCCAAGGAGTACGCCGCGGAGTGCCTGCAGAACCTTACGTCAAGCAACGACAGCCTGCGGCGTGCCGTCGTGTCCGAGGGCGGACTCCGGAGCCTGCTCGCCTACCTCGACGGTCCACTTCCTCAGGAGTCACCCGTGGCCGCGCTCCGGAACCTGGTCACCGCTGTCTCACCAGACAGCCTGGTGTCGCTTTGCGTGCTCCCGCGCCTCGTCCACGTGCTCCGTGACGGTTCGGTGGGTGCTCAGCAGGCTGCCGCGGCGACCATCTGCAAGATCTGCAGCAGCATGGACATGAAGCGGCTGGTGGGCGAGCACGGGTGCATCCCGCTCCTGGTGCGCCTGCTGGAGGCCAAGTCGAACGGCGCGCGCGAGGCCGCGGCGCAGGCGGTGGCGAGCCTGATGGGGTGCCCCGCGAACGCGAGGGACATCAAGAAGGACGAGAAGAGCGTGCCCAACCTGGTGCAGCTGCTGGACCCGAGCCCCCAGAACACGGCCAAGAAGTACGCCATCTCCTGCCTGCTGGCGCTGTCGGCGAGCAAGCGGTGCAAGAAGCTGATGATCTCCCACGGCGCCATCGGGTACCTGAAGAAGCTCTCGGAGAAGGACGTGACCGGCGCGAAGAAGCTGCTCGAGAAGCTGGACCGCCGCAGGCTGCGCAGCCTGTTCATCAGCAGGAAGTAGCGTGATGGTGAGATGGTCTCCAGCTGAAGCAGCTAGCAGTGAAGCGATCGTTCGTTTTGCGGTAACCTGTACAAAGATCCCGTCGTGTTTCATAGCCTCTATGAAGTGATGTGCGGCAGAGCGGTGGACAGAGAGTGTGCTTGAGTTCATGTGAAGTGAACATATGGCGTTGTAATTTCGCTGGCTAATGTGTGTGTCAGGCAGTTCGTTCGTTCGTTCGTTAGCTCCCTAACCATGGCTGAATGAATTCCCAGCAGTCCCATCGTAATCTCTTCAGGGAAAGAGGATTTGCACAGTTTGGTTGTGATTGTCTGCAATCCTTCAACTCTTTCAGAAATTGTTGTCAGCATTGATTCCAAACAGGACTGTTCGGCCTGTTCCGGCTGATTGTTGCGAGAGGACTGAAAAATAAATTAAAATATTATTCCGGCTGTTTATTGTGAGAAGAAAGTATTGTTCTGTCTGAAATGATTTCACGTGCACAGTGATTCGTAAGTGGGCTGGCCCGGCCAGCCGGCCACCAGCCAGCCGAACGCTATGATTCCAAATCTCGATTTAGTCGAACCTTTGCCTTGTGGATTAAAGAAATCCAGCATGCCCTTCGGAGTCTTAGAATCTGGTGAAGTGTTGATTGTGTCATCACTGCCAACAACAGCTTCTGGTGAAGTGCAGCCGTGCGGCAGGCTCGTATGCGGTGAGTGACCAGGTTATTGGAGCATGATGCGGACAGATCGGAGATGGGTTTCCGCACGCGTGCGACGGCAATGAGTACGCAGTAGCCTTCCATATCGCCATCGACCGATCGACGTCCAGCCCGTGCGATGCGTGCAGTCAGCCGTGGTGGTCGGGGCGTCCGGCTGCAGCCTGCAGGCCACGCAGCCCACGCGTACGTGGTTATCCATCACCTGAATATCTGGTAATCGGTCCCCCTTCGCAAATACTGTGCTTGTTTGCATGTTAAAAAAAAAGAACGTGACCATTTTGTCAGGCAAGATCGTCAACGTGTTTAGGTATACTCCGTATATCATAGCGGTTGTAGCAACCTAAATTACACGGGATCTGCTGAAATATAGCCCCTGTTCAGGCGACGGCTACAAGCCTTGAGATCTCCATCCAAGCCAACAGTGCACGTGGAGAAGTCCATTCAACAGACAAAGCATCGTCTGGCCGAAACATAGATTTCGGACGACTGTTCTATAGGAAAAGTGAAATTACACGGTCTGTTCTACTTCTTTGAAGTTAAAGATGGCTAGACGCAGGTAACATAATGAAACTGAATCAATCAATCAATCAAGTGATTCGGTGTCACGCCTCTAGATGCAATGCAAATGATCGAGTTATGCAGGAAGGAGGTTGCAAGAGCAATCTGGTCGGTCAGAGCTCAGTCACCTCGTGCTACCGTTGGCACTGTTTGTTTTGTCTGTACATGGATCTATTGGTGGTTGAATTTGTTGGGAAACGTCGTATGGTTTGATGCTTTGAGTGCGCGAGAGAGAGAAAAAGAGGAGCATATGTTCTTTTTCTTTACGTGGTTGATTTAAATATGTATATTCGTTACTCGTCATGAGGGGAAACGCGTTCATAGGCTGCGCGCCGACGAGGCATGTCCAGACCGTGCAGCTCTCGTTGTCGTTGCCTTGCCACCTCGATGACGTCGGCATCATCCGACAGATGAACAGAAGCATGCCTGCGGCCTGCGGCCTGCCGCCAGGCGCCAGCCGCCGTGAACCTCTCTACCATGCAGCGGAAGTAGAACTGCAGAAGCGCGGGGAGGGGCCAAGAACAAAACAAGCACACGTACTCTTGTAGACCAACTAACAAGCCCGGCCCATAGTACCCATGTCGGTTCGGCCCACGAAACGTAGCCCCGCTGCTCTCCAACTCCAAGCCGCCGAAACCACTAGGAAGGCAAGTCTTTTCCTAAAAAAAAAGGAAGGAAAGTCTCGATCCAAATCTTGTAGTTGGATTGTCAGCCCCATCTCGTCTCAATCAGTTTGGCGATTCGTCTCCCACTCTCCCTGGTGATAGTGTTGGAAAATCGAACCCCGGCGTTGGATCGGGTCAAACTGAAGACGATTCGTGTTGTGTGTTTACTGCCAATTTACGAGAGGTCGTGCAATCTGGAGCTTCACATGATGAGGCACAGTCGAACTGCACTGCTGCAGGCTGCACTGACCAGGTTTATTCTACCTCTCCTATTGTTGGATGCTCAGCATTAGATTTTTCAGTACAGTAGTGTAGCAACAGCGTAAGAATACTCTATATGTTATTCCTTCCGTTCCTAAATTGTTCGTGGTTGCAACTGTTGATTTGATTGCAAAAGGATCAAGTTGCTAATGGTCGGTATCAACTTTCTTAGTGCCATGGGCCATTGCCCATTGCCCTCCAAGAAGTTTGATCTGCCTGTTGATAGAGTACATCTCTGGACATGCTGCCTGACGTAGCATCTATGGCACTGCGTTGAGCTTCAGTCGAGACTGTGGTGGCCGTGTAGCTTCGTGCATTCCATATTTGGGAGAAGGGCCTATTGTGTTCTTGCCCCTACTTTGACGTCCAGTTGTGATTTTACCCCTGCTTTTGTCATCGTTGTGATTTTACCCCTGTTTTTTTTAAAACGAAGCTTAAGTTTACCCCTATTCTGTCAACAATAGGTAATGGTGTCAAATGGGCTCAGTAAGGACAAGTTTGCCCCTGTGAAAATACATTGTGATTTTACCCCTGTTTTACCGACAGCAGACTCGTGCGCCGATCATGGCGGCGAGGCGCGTCCCGCCCACCCGCGCTGCCTCAGGAACTGCTCCATGGTCTTGAGGAGCTTGTCGTCGACGCACCAAGCGTAGAAGGCGCGGAGCACGTCGATCTACTTGGCGGTGCCGACGTAGGTCTCGAAGGCCTTGGCGCACTCGGGGTAGTCCATGTCGAAGAAGCGGTCGAGGAGGAGCGCGAGGTCCTCGTAGACTCTGAAGTCGTCCTCGAGCGGTGGTGGCGCGGCGTGCACGCGCGCTGGCCCCCCAGCGAGCCAGCGGGGTGGCACGCGAGGAGGCGGTCCAGCGGTCTGTGCCGCAGGTGGCGCGCATGCCTAGGAGAGCCTTTGTGTCCATGTCGGCCGCCGCCGCCGCCGCCGCCGCCGTGTGAGGTGGTCCCCACGCGCGGTCGTCGATGAAGCGCGCGCGGGAGGAGGAGACGAGAGGAGCGGACACGGTCGAGGGAGGTAGGTGGTGTAAACGCACGACGAAGGTGGAGTGGTCCCACGACGCCGTGTCGCCTCATCGCGAAGTCGAGGAGCAGCGATGACACAGGCTTCCGCTCGCGGCGGCCGGTGAGGGTGGGGCGGAGCAGCTCGTGGAGGAACAGCGTGCGGCCCTCTCCATCGGCATCCTCGCCGGCCGGTCGGGGTCGGGGTCGGCGGCGGCGAGGCGAGGCAGAGGCAGAGCCTTGAGGCACTTGGCGGCGGCACGCGTAGTCGCGGGTCTGGAGGCGGTGGGCGATGGAGGCGACGCAGGCGCCGCCGCTTTGTGGCGGATGCGGCGGGAGCACCTCCAGCGTGGCGGTTGTCCGGGTCGCGTCGTCGTGGGAGGTGGCGCGCGCATAATGGCCATGTCGAGGTCCGCGCCACGGCGCCCATCACCCGTCGTGATGCGCGATGGTCGCTGGTCCCTTGATCGCGCCCAGCGCCTTGCGGATGGATATGGCGATGGCGGGCGGGCGCCGCCCTACTGCTGCTTCGATGCTCCTCCTGTTGGGGTCTTGGGTATGGGGAATGAGAGAGATAGAGAGGATACGGTAGAGGATGGGGGATTGGGAGGGTACGAGTGGATAAGGGGTATTGTTGTCTTTTTGTCTTACTTCGAAGGGTTTTGTTGTTTTTTTAATTTTTTTTATTTCAGATACAACTAACAGAGTTAAAAATAAGGGTAAACTGAGCATTAGTAGTTACAAAGCAGGATAAAATCACAACGATAACAAAAACGAGAGTAAAATCACAATTAAACATCAAAATAGAGACAAGAACACGATATTCCCTTTGGAGAATAGTAGATCTAGTGTAGACGTTGCTCAGTGGGTCGGACTTTGTGCTCTCCTGGGTCGACCTTATCACCTAGATGATGACAGCAATGTCTCTTTTATGCGGGACAAGAGTTTGACATTCAAAAAAAAAAAAAGAGGCAGACATTCCTCCCATACTAATTTTATGGAGTACTTTTTTACTTAAAAAATAAAAATATTCAGGCCTCCAGCATTAGCATAGCTGTTAAAACAAGAGCAACATCACTTAAGCAGTTAAGCTAACATCCACACCATAACACAAGACAACACAACAAACAAAAAGAGTGAAGCCTCAATCCTATTTCTTCTGCGCCATCCAAAGCTTCCTATCTGTGATGCATCCTTCGCTGCATCATCAGTAGGTTGACTCCATCTATCATCAGTACAGCGATCTGTTTTACAACAACCAGCTTCGTTCATACAGTACTTACCAACTGAGCAAAGGATGCTCTTAGGAATCTGCGCGATCTAGCCAGCTTGATTCTTACTCTTATCTCTAAGGCTTTGTTTATTTTAAGTGATACAATATTTTTAACTGCTGCATCTTTTATTTATCCTCTCTTCCCTTGGATAATCTAGCTCTGTCACTATTCTTTAGGGTAAATAGCAATACAACGCAAGATCACAGAGGAAATGCTATCCGGTGAGAAGAAGATGCATATATATTGCAGGAAATCCTCATTCTGAAACCGAAGCAAGATATACGTATCATATCAAGATCAGGAAATTCACTTCATATGCGTTCTAGTCTCATATGTATCTCGTTACATATATATACATATCGCGGCAAGTCCTAACGTAAGGTAAGTCGTACACTGGAGATTATTGTACATAGAAGCCAAAAGCAGAGAAGTCCAGAACAGCATAGCAGATAGCACTCATCAACAGACCCAAAAGAGGATATGACTAAGAGTAAGAGGCAGCAGCGATATATCTACTGAGTACCGTCACAG